CGGGGGAGCAGCTCTCTCTTCGCCGTCGCAGCTCTCTCGCCGTCGTCGTCGTCGCACAATTGAACCTCCCATTTCAGCCTTCCATTTAAGACAGGACTGATTGCTGGCACCACAGCGGCGGCAGCAGGAGGGAGGGGAGGGACACAGGGCGCACCTCACAGGGTACCTCCCCGTGTTGCGGCTCGTCTCGCCCTCCCTCCCCTCCCCGCGTGTGGTTCGTCTTTCCCTCCCCTCCCCTCACTCGCCCATCCAAACTCTACCTCTTTCCACATCTCCTGTGTTAATACAGGTCCGTCTATCTCGCCTGATGAGGGCCAGCACTGAGGCGGCATGTGGTGATGGTGGCGGTGGTGGTGGTGGCGGTATGCCGGAAGACCTCGCCAAGGGGTTCCAGGTGCTGAGAGCGGCCGCAGCAGCTGCAGCCGCCGGCGCGGCGGCCCAGGATTCGGCAGGAGGGGTGGTGATGACGACGACGGCGGCGGCGGCGGCCGGCGGCGGCGGCGCGGCCTCGGGGTCGACGGGGGCGCATTGCGGAGGTGGAAGCCGCACTGCCGGGACGGTGACGGTTGCGGCGACGGGCAATAACGCAGTGGATGATCCCGACAAGTCGACGTATGTGTACGGCATTGTTACCGTGGTTGTTACATCGAACGCGCTCAAGGTGGGCGCGGATTTGTGTTCGCGCGCCTGTTTAGGCACCTGGGGTTCTTTCCTCGGATGCTTGGAGCTTGTGTAGGAAATGACGTGGAACTCTCGCATTTCTCGGAGGGAGGGGAGTTTTAAGACACTCGACTTTATGCTGGACATCTAATTCAATCATGGAAAAAAATAGGCTCCTCCAAGCCCAAGCCAGTTTTTCTTTTTGTTATGTCGGTAAGTCTTCCTGCCGAAAACAGGCAAGATTTTATCCTTAGGGTTTTTCCCAGATTTTGAGGGCTCCGCGCCCCCACCCCTCGTTTGCGCATGTTGGCAGCTGTTGAGCCTTCCTTGGCCTTCCCGCCGCATCTGCCAAGGTGATCTCCCCCCTCCCCTTCCTGTGCGATATATGTGCGTGTGTGGACTGCTCGGGGGGCCCCGGGTGCCGCTCCCGGTCGTTCCGCTCCTGCAGGAAGGCGAGGAGATCCTGCTTCGGTGGGACAGCGACGACTCATTTTTCGCAGTGGCAGACCAGAACTTGAGACAGGTGGGGGCCGAGGGTGGACGGGGGGGGAAGAAAGGGGGGGGGGAGGAAAAGCGAGGGGAGGGAGGGGGGGGGGAAGACGAACCACACGAACGAATGAAAAGCTGCTGCCAAGGAAAGAGAAGCAGAACTGACCAGTAGGCGGCTTTGAAGGAGCCGACCTCGGGAAGATGTGATGATGACGACCGCGGAAGGGGGGGAGGGAGACTGGGTGGGTGGGTGGGTTTAGCGGATGGGTGCGTGGGTTGCGTGTTTAATGATCTGTCTTCGGCGTCGCCCCGAGGGAACTACCGATGGTGTGATGCACGGGAATAACTTCACGCCTAAGCGAGTGCGTGTCTGTGTGCATACTGCTGCTGCTGCTGCTGCTGCTGCTGCTGTGTTAGAGCAGAGGAAAGCAGCGCTGATGCGTCCAAGTGCCATGGCGTATAGATTACATATATGTATTACAAATAGATCATTACATGCCGGCCTACTACTATATATATGTATATGTATATATATATATATACATTTACATACTCCCCGCATACTCCCCGCATACTCCCCGCATACTCCCCGCATACCCCCCGCATACTCCCCGCATACCCCCCGCATACCCCCCGCATGCAGTATTTGTACATTCGGGACCTCGCCGCGGAGCGGGATGCTGCGGAGGCCAAGGCAGTCCACCACCAACGGCTGTTGGCGTTACTTCGCAAGTCTCACCGCGAGTGCCAATCCTCGCGAGAGGCCGCCTTACATCGGGGCGACGCGCTCTTCAAACAGAAAGAGGAGATGGCGTGCAGCTTGGAGGAGGCTGTACGGCAACGGGATGAGGCTGTACGGCAGCGGGACGAGGCTGTACGGCAACGGGACGAGGCGATTGAGGACGTGAAGAATCAGCGTGCGGCGTCCGCGGCGGTGGCGGCGGCTGCCGGTCCGCGAGTCAGTCGTTTGGAGGCGCAGGTGGCGCAGCTGCAGGCGGAGCGGGACGCGCTGAGCGCCCGCCTGGAGCGGTTCATGCAGCAGCAGGATCGGCAACACAGGGGACAACAGCGACAAGAGCTGCTGCAACAACAGAGCTCTGCATCGCAGCTCCAGCAACAGCAGTTGCAAGGACAGCGGCAGGCGGAACGCCATGAACAGCACCACCAGCACCACCAGCACCACCAGCAGGAGCAGCAGTGGCGACAGCGTCAGGACTCGGGGCCTCAGCCTCGCACCCAACGGAAGGAGCTGAGGGAATGCCTGGAGCAACCCTATTTGCAACAGCAGGAGCAGCAGGAGCAGCAGGAGCAGCAGCAGCAGCAGCAGCAGGAGGAGGAGGAGGACCAGCAGCAGCAACGAGCTAGTGCGGGTGGACCAGGCGCGCTACAGATTCATAGGAGGGGGAGCAGCAGCGATGATGATGATGATGATGATGATGATGATGTCGCTGTGGGCGGTGTTAAAGCCATGGAAACTCTGGGCCAACAACAGCTGCCGCAGCTGCCGCCGCAGCCGCCGCCGCCATCACTGCCGTTGCCATTGTCTGACTGGCAGCTGCAGAAGAGGCGACGGATAGATGACGGTGATTTGCACGGAGCGCCCCTAACGACATTATCAACCGATGCCACGGCCAACGGTAAAGAAGGACAGACATTTGGCGGCAACGGTAAGGATTACGATAGCACAGATGGAGACGAGGAGCATGCGATGGCGGCGTCAGTATCGGCAGGATTGTTGCAGCGTTACGAAGACGCCAAGCGGCAATACGATGCAGCTGCGGCTGCGATGGTTTCGGAGCTGGTGCGGCTTGAGGCGGTGCAGCGGCGGCGGACGGCGCAGCTGGCGGCGGCAAGGAGGGAGGCGGAGGAGGCGGCGGCCAGGCTATCGGCGCTACAGCGGGACGTGGAAACCAGCAGGTGACAGCCCGGTAGGTGGGGAAGATTTCCCGGGCTTAGGAAGTGAGGGCTTGGCAACGGGTGAGAGGGATGGGGTGGGGAGGTAAGAGTCAGCGCAGGTGTCCATGGTCGGGTGCGATGCAGGCCCCCTTACGTGGGATATACGACAGGCGGTCACGGAAATTCAATGTGCAGGAGGTACTCTTGGGTTTACAGTACGTGTAGTTCCGTTTGGTAGTCCTCTCTGGCACCTGTGGTGTGCTGGGGTTGTGTAGTGGGGTTGTGTAGTGGGGTTGTGTAGTGGGGTTGTGTAGTGGGGTTGTGTAGTGGGGTTGTGTAGTGGGTTGGGTAATGGGTTTTGCGCTAAAAGTAGCCGTGGTACAATTGCTACTCGTACCCATATATTTACCCGCCAGTGCCTCCCTAGGGCTTAGGTTTCCTTTGACCGTACTGTCCGTGCTGGGGAAAGAACTGAGAGGGCCGAGCAAGTGAGAGCAAGTGAGCAAGCGAGCGAGCGAGCTGGTCGGAGACATGATGATCTTTTACCTTCCGGGGGCATTTTACCTTCCGGACTAGAGGTAACTTTGGTTCATGCTATCACGATCATGTTATCATTGATGTTGGCCTTTCGTCTGCTGGACATGTGTGCGTATCCCCATCGTGGTGGATTCCGCCACCGTCGCCGCATGCAGCAGCTCATCTTTTGCCAACCAGAGGCGTCCATGTCGACTAGCTGTATGGTTATAACCGGGACTCAACGATGTCAACGATGGTGGTTTCAACTATCGCCAGGAGCCAGATAACAAAACGGTCTGTTTTGTTCGGCGGGAACAGCAACAGTAGCAGCAGCAGTTGCAGTAGCAGTTGGTCAAGGATGTCTACCTTTACGTCGGTGGGAGAGCGTGTGGTGTAGCATTACTTGGTTACGCAGTGTTGCACTGCTCTGCTCTGCTCTGCAAACATGTGTACGGTGCTGACAGGTTACAGTGCCCGCGGGATCGTCTTTTGTGAAGTTGCCAGGGAGTTGTTGTTGTGGGGGGTAAGATGATAAACCTTTAACGATTGACGAAGATACCAGGCAAGAATGGCTCGCGGTTGCAGTTTGCTGGCGGTGAAGGGCGTCTTTGCTTCATAATCTACCTGTGGCGCACGTGGGTTCCCGCCATGTTGGGTTGAGCGGGTGGTAGGTAGCCGGAAGGGAGAGACTGTTTGGCGCGGTGGAATTTTGTTACTAGCATTATAGATGAAACAGTGTGCTCATGTGCGCTTGCTGTCTGATAGATCCATGACAACTTTAGTCAATAATGGTTGTACTGTTTGAATGGGAGAATTGCTGGTTTAGCACTCTCTTTCACTGCTAATCCAAAGCCAGCTCGATATCGTGCTTGTCAACCAGACGTGCCCTGTCCCGGATGATCTTAGGAACCAAAACCAAAACAAGGCGGTGTCAAATTTCTGGAAGCCGGAAAAAGGGCAGGGTCCCTTCAATCCGTACAGGGCCATCTCTGGAAGCCAAATGTGCACGAACGGCCGGGCTTGCTCGCTGTGCAGAGCGCGGTCGGGGAAGCCAACGCTCTAAGCATCTTTAAGTCCGTATATAAAAGCGAAGTGGATCGGATGCAATAGTACAACTTACCAGCGGGAAAGGCATAGCGGGCAGCGCATCCAAAGAAACGATACTTGGACTGAAGATGGAGTCGGAAGATCCAAGCCCTCATGGCCAGGCCGTGGGCCATGTATGTGGGGTTGCTGGTTGGCTTGGTGACCCCGGGGAAGCAAAATGCCAACACGGGCACTTCTCAGGCGCCTCTCCCATACACAGGCAACCGTCAGGACACACACATACACACGTATTTGTCTGTATGTCTGTATATTCAATCCGGACAGCACAGCAGCACTACATCACAAATACCTGTACGGCGAAGATATGTACAGCACAGTACGGCATTTACCACTCGGTCGATCAGCTTTCGTCGATCGACACCCTACACGACGTCAATGCGCTGGATGCAGATGTCAGTGTGGTGGAGTATGTCGCTGCCTTTTGCCTGAGGAGGTGGTCCATGGGGATGTTTCAGCCGAACAGCCCAAATAGCTCCGGCGGGTGGACTGAAAGACGGCATTTTGCTGCTGAGGGGACAATAGATGGCGTGTACGGCGGTTAGTGGTCCGGGGTTGTGCCGCACTCATCAGGGGCAGGGCGAGGGAGCGGGCTGCGAGGTGTCCACTTAACGGGCTGCCGGTAGTTGGGGCGGTTAGTAGGGTGGAGAGGGACACATCCAGGGAGGCCTGGTCCAGGGCTTACGGCCCACATCCGGGTCTTATGCCCCGGGGGGGGGGGAGAGGGGCTATCCGCTCTGCGTGGGCTCCGAAGGCCTTTTGGTCAAAGTTGGCTTGATTACATCGAAGGCACGGGTCAACACGCCCATTAACACCTCCCGCATTGGTACAACAATGCCGTAACTCCGGCTAGATGGCCTGTACTACAGCAGCTAGCTGATTGAACCGCCGACAACTTACTACATGATGCCTGGGAAACACACACACATACACACACACGCACACACACATACACACACACACATACACACACATACACACACATGATGTCTGAGGTAGCTGCAAAGAAACCTACTACAGCCTGGATGAAGCTGCGAACAACACCACCTTGCCAACTGATATGCATCCAACTTTCGCCAATGCGGCATATGTACAGGCGGTTGCACGCCAGTCCAAAGCGCTGAATATCGCCGCGGTCCAAAGAGGAGGAGCACTTGGCTTTACCGGAACGGGCAAAGCATGTACGCGACGCTCTGTATGACGTCATCATGTACGGATCGGTACATGGAGAATCCCCGCGACGCACACAACCATCAACAATCAATGGCGTAATATGCACGCGCGCTCTAGCGAACAAGTCCTTTTCTCATTCACGGCATTAGATAGGGTGCACGCAAGACATAGAATAACGACAACAACAACAACAACAACGACAGAAAAACTGCCTGATGAGATAGCGGAGCCCATCTTGGGGAGCGGCAAACTCAAATTTTTAAACTGCAGCCCGACGCACGCAAAAGTTCAGATTCACGCACGCAACGCGGAACATGAAAGAATACCAGGGGATGAAACAACCCCATACATGGAAAGCGCTTAACCATGATCATGATTCATGAATCACGTGAATAAAGCTCACAAGAGGCAATTTACTAGCTCATTTATGAACCGCCGAAACAACATAAACATAACAGGTAGATGGAAAGGGGCCTTACCATTTGCAAGAACTCGCAACCTACACAACCAGTTTCTTCACGCGCGCATCAATCCTGTAGGCAGTGCCTCGCTCACTTCCGCATACAAGTTGTCCTATGTATAGCCGTGCGCGGCTAGCTAACAAAACATAACTATTGGTACAGCTTATTTTTTTTAAGCAAGCGCCAGCGGATTATCGAACCATTTGGCGACGTCAGACTGAAGCACCTCGGCCGGTACTGGGACCGAGTGGCGCTCCACCTCAGCAACGAACGGCTCCGAACGCGGCTGTGGGCTGGTGGCGATGGCCGATGCTGTCGCGGACAGTTGACGGCCAGCAGAGGTCCACGTGTACATCCGGCGACGGCCAGGCTGCTGCGCTGCCGCCGCCGCCGCCGCCGCCGCTGCCGCCGCCACTGTCGATCGGAAGGCAGAAACCTCGTTGTTGTGGTCCTGTGCACATGCGGGTGTTGAAGGGAGGGGATTACAAGTTACAAGTTAGGATTTCCGCACACGAATGCCGTTAGGGTGTCCGTCAAAGACCGGAGGCCATGGACGATGTATTGTCGTTTGAATACACACGTACTTTGCATTCACGGGGTTGAACAGAAGCGGACGTACGACAGGTCAGGAGATAACGGTTTCCGCCCAAGGGAGTGTTTTGTTATGCTTAAATAATTCAACAGCGGCGGCATTCTCGCACCATATACATAACTGTAGTTTTAGCCTCGACAAAGCAAGTGCGCACGGGAAACAAATAATGTGGCAGCATGGGGGGCTGCAGCAATCAAGAGCATACAAGGTGGACATGACAACCACTCGTCGCCGCGCGAACACGCACGCATTAGCCACTAAAGCAGCTCCGAGACCTAAGACGAACCTGGTACGGCAAGCAAGTCCTATACTGGAAGGGTGCGACGTTGGCGTAGTACTTGTCGTATTTCCGGTCCAAGGACTGGTTCCAAGAGTTGACGGAACCTTCTGGATGGAGGATCTTTGTGCAGACGATAAGGGAGTGTGCAGCAGCAGCAGCAGCAGCAGCAGCAGCAGGGGTAGAGGGTAGAGGGTAGAGGGTAGGGGGCAAGGAGAGAAACGAAGTCATTCGGAGGAAAGAGAATATGTGTGCGTGTGTGGGTTACACCTCGGTTGCGTCAGTTACCCAGATGGGGAAGTGTAACGAGAAGTGCCCATACACGAGCTAGCCGCGGCCCAAGAGCCTCCTTAGAGCCGCACAAGCTAGGTAAAGGATATAGTAAGGGACGCAAAAGTTCTATTTTAGTAGAATATTAAAGCCCAGTACTTGCGCTCTGTGCACATTTGCCGTCCATGCGGCAGCTGGATGCCCCTCCCCTTCCCGTAACGGGAAAGGGGCTTTAGGGGAACTAAAGGGGTAGGGAACCCCGTAACTTAAACAACTTGACATGACACAGAATGTCCCGTTGGCTGGCTTATGTTGGCTGTAAAGTTATCATGACGGTATTGCAAATTGTTCAAGTCGGGTATGGTCCCCGTACAATACGGCAGTCGTACGCCACCGTACCTTCCATGGGTTCGTGCAACTTTCGCCCTTGCACACCACCAGAACCGCCAGAAGCGCTTCAAGCCTGGTCCGAACAGCGGCCCGGGTCTTGTTGTAGATATTGCAAAGCTCTCCAGGGTCGGTCTTCAGGTCGTACAGCTCCCGCTCATCTGTGTACGGCACAGAAGTTTAGGGTCGTACAATGGAATGTAAAAACTCACTACTGCGGGAGCAACGGATAACCAAGCAGAGGCGAAAAGCAATCTTTAATCATCTTTATTAGCTCCGGACAAGTGCGAGGTCAATACGGGAGATGATACGGAGCGGGAGCTGCAGCCTTCTGGCGTTTTCAGCATTCTCCGGTTCCATTAGCACACATTTAGCTGCAATCAGCAAGCCTCCTTTACAGACAGAACAACTTCGCCTTTCACATCCAGAGAGGAGACAAACGTTAGCGGTTTTGTGCACCGCACGTGTGCACATATACGTACTTGTGCACGACACAATGAGTTTCCAAGCCTGCTGGTTGTCCTCGTCGTACACCCGTACGGCCTTCCAGGAGTTATTCGTGTAGCGCGGGATGTGGTGCAGCACCTCGTCGCTCCAGCCGCCCCAAAACTCGCCCTGGAACCTGTACGGCAATGAACGAAACATTGCTCGTGTGAAAACGCAAGGGGGCTTAACGTGTGTGTGTGTGTGTGTGCGTGCGTGCGTGCGTGCGTGTGTTTGCGTGCGTGTGTGTGTGTGTGTGTGCGTGCGCGCGGGGTGTGTGTGCGTGTGTGTGTTTGCGGGCTCGGGAGCGTTGTGTACAGTCACGCTGCCTGGATGGAGAGAGTTCCTATCCTAGGAGGATTCAGGAGGCGTCCTGCTGGTGGTAGGAGGTCGGTGAATGCAGTGCCCGCGTAACTCTAACCTGCAGATATGCAGAAAGCATATCCCACCTCGCGCCGTGCGCATACAAACTAGAGTGGCATGTGGCATATGAGTGGCACATAGAGTGGCATTTGGCATATGCATACGCGCGGATTCATTCGATCGGTTCACCCCAGGCCACCCTGCCAGCCTGCCTTAACCCTTAACAGCGCGCATCGTTATCATGACCAATAGAACTCCGACAGCGACATCGCGGAGACGGCATTAACGAGCCAGGCAGGACCTACTGATTGCGGTGGTTTGCAGGGCGGGGGTAGTCCGCGAGGAGGTTGCCGTCATCATTGGCGTACTGCAGGGCAAAGCATATTGTACGGCATGGACACGGACACGACACTCGAAGGGAGTTACCAACCTGGCTCACAACAGCAACCAACGAGAAGCGGCACACAACAGAATGTCGAATCTCAGGCTCGGCTTGGCCCTAACACACTAAAACAGCACCACTGTATGTCTCCTGTCTCCCCTTCCCCCCTAATCCCTCTAAATAACCCCAACTCACAAGACCCAGCGGTGTGCCGTCCAGCGCCTTGTCACCCACTTGGTCTCCAGCACCCGCCAAAGTCAGGATGGTGGGTGCAAAGTCCACATGAAGCCCCACCTGCGTGGGGGAGGGGGAGGGAGGGGTGTGTGGACATGTACCTCCGTACTAGTACGACTACGAGTAAAGACCATCCTTACGAAAGGACCGTCTGCATAGACGAGATGCGATGCAGATCGCACACCGTACACCGTACATCGTACATCGTACATCGCTTGCCTTGCTGTTAGCTGGCTTATCGCTGTGTGACGCTCGGATTCCAGGACCCCGGATGAGGAAGGGCACTCGGAGGTCCTCATCGTAAGCAGTCACCTTGCCAGCACCGAAGCGGTGGGTGCCGACCTAACAAGGACAGCAAGTTGCCAAGGGATGAGGGCACGACGGCAAAGGGCAGGGGGAAAAATGCGTGTTGTGCTGTTTGTCGAAAGACAGGGGAGCCAAAGCACGACTCCGTTTAAAGCTTTTAGCGAGCTGAGCGCTCTGGTACGTTTCCAGTAGGACCACTCGTTCCCGCAAATTAACGTCGGATGCACATCGCCGGTTCAAATCCCGGCATTCCCACTAGGACGTGCACAACGGGGCGGGGTAGAATCCCCGCTTCTCCTTCCCAGAGACTGCCGTACGTGGTAGCCGTTATCGGCGGAGTAGATGAGGTATGTGTTGTCGAGGACGCCGGCTTCCTGAAGTGTTGCCACTGGGGTGTTTGTGTGAGGGGGAGAGGGAGAGGGAGAGGTTTAGGGATAAGGCTTACAAGGCTGATGTATATGTATATGTAGGTTTGGGAGACAGGCAGAAGGCGTGTGAGCAGAGAAGAGTGATCTAGGAGGCGGAAGATCCAACCCCTCATGGCCAGGCCGTGGGCCGTGGGCCATGAATGTGGGGTTGCTGGTTAGCTTGGTGACCCTGGGGGAGCAAAATGACAGCACGGGCAGTTCTCAGGCGCCTCTCCCATACACAGGCAACCGTCAGGACACACACATACACACGTATTTGTCTGTATGTCTGTATATTCAATCCGGACAGCACAGCAGCAACACAGCACAAATACCTGTAATACGGCGAAGATATGTACAGCACAGTACGGCACTTACCCACTCGGTCGATCAGCTCGTCCACGGAGGCCAGCGATCGCAGCCTCAGGCGGTACACCTCTTCCAAATAGGTGCGGTTGTTCTGCTGGGCCCTGCGCATGCATGTATTATGTGTGTATTATGTGTGTATTATGTGGAAAATAATAAACGGGAAGAAGGATGCGGCGGGGGGGTTAAAAAATATCGTGCATCATCATTTTATGGGATGTCCCAATACCCCTTGGGAGCCTTAACTTCCGCTCTACTACTCCTCATTAACCGGGCCGATGAGCACTCCCCCTCAGGAAACGCACATCCCTGCTTTTGTCCTCACGCGTACGCAGCCCCCAACACCGATTAGGACCGATCAGGACCGATCAGGATAAGCCATCACTCATTGTGGCTCCCTCCCTCCCTCCCGGTTAAACCGCAGTAAATACTCACAGCGGCAGGGCACGGATCCAGGCGGGCTTATCGGACACGTCAGCTTCGTACAAGTTCTTGTGGGATGTGCCTTCGGGCAGTGTGGCGTCGGAGAAGAGCTCCCAGTGCCGCGGGGCGGGGATGGGCGGGTAGAAGAAAGTCTTGGTGCTGCAGGAGTGCGGGCATTAGGGGAATTTAGGGGGGCCCCAGTGCGGATTGGGCGGCATTCTGGATTGGGCGACGATGGGAGGAAGGAAGTTTTACCACAAGGACTACTGGGCCGTTTGTTTAATTGTCCATTTCCTGACGTGCGCACTGCTTTACGGCAAAGCAACCTGGATAGTTCAGTTAGTTCGACATAATTTTCCTTTTTGAGCGATAATATAGTAGTTTTTCTTATGTGTTTTTATGACATCTATCTACTTCGTACAGCCCTAGACTGGCCCTCGGGCCCCCGACTCGTATGGGCCCCCGTTACACCTTCGAAGGGTAACGCAACACTAAATATGACACACGTACAGACACACACGTATACACACACACGTATCCACCGAGGGACATGTCCACACCCGCCTCCTCCTCGATGGATAATGGATAAGGCTCCCACCAGTCAGCGTACGCCCAGGAAGTCTAGCTACCAATCCTAAATCGCAGTCCCACTCGCGCCACTCACGCATTCGCCACCGGGTCGAAATAGATCTGTGTGCTCGTGTGTGGAGCGATGGGGGAGATCTGCGCATAGAAGGGCTTCCCGGCCGCCACCGCTGTCTTTATCTGGGCCACCGCCTTGTCCGCGATGACGTCAGTGGAATAGAAGCCGGGGTAGATGTTGGGTGTGGCACCGTTCCTGCGAGAGAACAGGTCAGCGCAACTCAGGTTGGTGCAGAACCAATGTTAAATCACGACTTTTTCGGAAAAAAAAACCGATCGGTGGTTCTCAGGATCCCGTGATAAGCCCTCCAGGAATACTATCAACCATCCAGCTTTGAAAGCACTCCCCTCCGGCCAGTTTCGGACGGGTAATCCTCCATCCTCAGGCCCCCTCCGCCATCCCCCCGTGAGACGTCCAGCCACAGTACACTGCCTAGGATCGCTAACCAACCAACACACCAACACGGCTCAGACAACAGACGTACAAACAAAGGGGAGCGCTACGCAATTTCCGCAGCCACCCCACCGCACCCTTCACCCTCCCTGGAGACTACTTGTTGTTGGAGTCTTCCTCCTGGCGGGGCAGGGGTTGGGGTGAGCGGCGCACCTGGAGAAGCCGGGGTTGTTGTAGTCGAATGTGTATGGCGTAACCAGAGCGTCTATGTCCGTCCACCCAGCAGGCTGCCGTGGGCGTGGGTTTTAGGGGGGAGGGAGCGGGGAGGGAGGGAGAGGGGGCAGGGGGAGAGAGGGAGGGAGCGCGGAGGGCGGTGAAGGCGGGGATTGGAAAGGTGGACGGCGGGGGGAGGGGTGCGATCGGGAGCGAAAGGGGCGACTGGGACGAAGATACAACGGCGGTATGCTGATACCCTACCTTTGATAGTCGCTAGCAGGGTCACAGGAGGTTGACAGTTATTGTTAGGGGGCTGACAGGGTGTGTCGTTTGCGAGCCCAGCCGGACGTGAGTGAGGCTGTGGTTTGAAATACAGGCCTTCTTCTGCTTGCAGCAGCAGAAGCAACAGCATCAACAACAAGAGAGCATCAACAATAGCAGCAGCAGCAGCAGCAGCAAGCAGCAGCAGCAGGATGCAGGCATGCCATCGACCAACTGCCCGGCCACCTAACCTCCAGGATTCGGTTGTCAACCGTTATAACGCTTACTCACCACATTTTGATAGTTGGAGACCGAATAGTCCACAAGGAACTTCCCAACCTGTGCGGTGTGCACAGACACGAGACAGAAGCGGAAGACAGGGATGTGGCGGGGGTATAGTTTATATGTGTGGGGGGGGGAGCTGGGGGAGAGTTTAACTTGCGATAGTAAAAGACCTCGTGAGAGCAGCTCACCGACCGGGCTAATCATCCGGAAACGGTGTAGATCTGTGGCCCACCTCCCCTGCTTTATCGTATTATTATTACTATTATTAATTATATTATTATTATTACTATTACTATTATTATTATTATTATTATCATTATTATTATTACTATTACTATTATTATTATTATTATTATTATTATCATTATCATTATTATTATCATTATCATTATCATTATTATTATTATTATTACTACTACTACTACTATTATTATTATTATTATAACAGTGCGGCTGGAAACGGCTTTTATTAGCAACTCATGTTGGCATATGTGTGTTGTGTGCATGATCCCCATTAGCAGCGACAGCTACTCACGTAGTAAGTGTTGTAGCCCAGGTTCTGTAGCCAGACAGGCAGGTAGGACTTATCGATGCCCAGCGACTTCCACTTTGCGTAGCCGCCTGGGACAGGTGGGACAGCAGGTGGGAGAGCAGGCGCGACTGAAGTAATGTGTGTGTGTGTGTGTGTGTGTGTGTGCGTGTGTGTGTGCGTGTGTGTGTGTATATGTGTGTGTGTATATGTGTGTGTGTGTATATGTGTGTGTGTGTGTTACATGGCTGGGGGTGCGTTGCGTGAACCCCATACCTGTAAAACTACCCATGCGAGCCGAAGGCCCAAGTGGTATGTGTGAACGGAGGGGAATGGAGCTACGGACGGAGTTAACATGAGAAGTGAAGTCGGATTAGGAGACCAGAAGTGAGATACTTTTGGGGTCAAATTAGTTCAAGAAGGGAGGATTCCGGGTTTGGTTGGATTCCGGTAATTGGATTCCGTGTATCCCATATCGCGCAAAGAATAATAAAGGCGAGGAAAGGAATGGTGTTAGTAAGACTAGTTTTTACAAGTTTTTTTTTGCCGGATGCAGAAGGCCAGCTGGATGCAAAAAGCTAGCATGAATGCCGAGCCATCGAACTACACAACACACGGCCAGGAAAAAAAACCGGATGCGAAATCAACCCACCGTGGGGCCCAAGGACGTCCGTGAAGTTGGTGTTGTGGCTGAATTGGCCGCGCCAGAGGTTGGTGCGCGATGGGCAGCACACCGGAGTCGTGACGAAGTAGTTCTTGAGCTCAATGCCGGGGTAGCGGATGTGCTCATGCAGCTTGGGCTGGTAGCGCGGATGCGTGGAGTTCTGAATTCCATCTTGGTCATCCTGGGACCAGGCGAAAAAGGTTTAATGTTAGAATCGCTAAAGATGTTCATGTAAGCGGTATCCGTGAATTGCGCGGGTCGCACTGGGCGGGTCATATATACATCACGTGTATCGAAAGGCTTCGAATGGCCAGGCCTAATGGAATCCATTTCTTCTGTATTGTATGCAAACTTACAGTGAAAATAACGACGAAGTTTGGACGCTGATGTGCGGCGGCCGCAGTCAAGGCCGCAAACCCAAGCAGGCATAATGCAACGACCAATCGTTGCAACATCCTGCACGCCGACATGGTGTTGTCCTTCCAAATGCCTGCATAACCATTGAAAACAATCGTGATTCGTGATGCTAAGTGTGATAATAAGTTGCCTAGAATGCGTGCCAGTCGCGTAGCTAGAACTGATGGGTGGACTGATGCGAGGTCGTCTATTTCCCCTGAAACAAATATGAAGGTGTTGCTATTCATGCTTTTTGCAGACTTAAGTGCTACATTACATATTTTATTTACCTGATGCTCTGATACCTCCGCAGTTGCAGCACGCAGTCCCTTGGTCTATGATGTACGGCTCCACCACAGCCCGGAATCAGCCGCTACCAGCGACTTAGTGCAATCGGTGTCAGCAGCAACAGCTATACATAAATTACTTCGTGAAGTTTTACCTGCTGGCTTGTATGAATTGAGAGAAGAAACAGTTGACCGTTGTCACATGAGTGACCTAATGGCCTGCCAAGCCTCATGGCCTCGCGCCACGAGGCCGTTCAGGACGTTTACCTAAGGAGAACAAAGGATTACGCACATACACGTAAGCTATATTGCGTTGGCCCGAGATCTCCCTGAGGCCAGTTGCCGCTGCGAGCCCTAAGAAACCGACAACGGTTAAATGACCGAAACCGGTAAATATATTGAGATGCTTAGAGATGAAGCAAAGTGGATTTTATAATTTTACATTGTATAACTGTGAGTCGAGTGTTTCACTTGGATGTCTCGAGTCGTCCTGGAGGACTCTTCCTTCTTGTCCGTCGGTCGGAAGGTCGGAAGGTCGTCCGTCGGCAAATCATATTGTGCACCAACCTGCAAACTGCTCAAGCAAAACCTAGAAGCCGCATTCTTCCGTTGCTTGAAAGTGCGTATCACGTTCCTAGCTTGGGAAGCCGTATACCGTATGGCACAGAACAGCGCGTAAGTCTGCAACAGCGAGTACAGCGCCAGTATGCAGCAGATTCATCACATCCTACACAAAGCACGCTCTACGTTCTACTTAGTACAGCACGTTCTCCCAACCCCGCGCACTAAAGCAGACACGCTGCCCTCCGGCCGCGTGAAGTTTTCACCAGTCCGAGATAGATGGATGGCCGCTCCGCGGTCGTCATCTCCCTGAACGTCACATCCAACAAATTCCCGATTCATTTAAATACTGTTGTGAATATAATAGGGAAATGACGACGTGCGGAGGCTTTGTAAACTGTAGACCACCCAACCCTTTCAAAGCATTCGATCGAGAAACATAGTTCGCCCGCCGTGGTGCCCATTCCCCCCATCACAGATGTTCGGCAGACAGGACAGGGTTTCGGTCTTCCTTGACAGGTCTCCTGGGCGGGTAACACGTCCCACTCCTCGCCTTGTGCACAAAGCAGCAGGTGGGACCAGCTTCAGAGGCAGGCTGTAAGAGGGCATTTCTGTGCATCCCATGCAATGGCCATAATTGTTTTGGCTATTGAACGCGTTCCGACGCATTATGCGTGTGGCTCAGGACTAAAGAACGCCGGGCTGTAGGTAGAACCTAAATACGGCACCTGACGGTGCCCATGATGATTTCCACGGAGACCTTTGATGGAATTAAATGCACAGACACAGCTTGACAAAACAGACTTGTCAAGGGTTTTGCTAAAGGTCTTGTACGGAATTGCTTCGCCCGTTACCTCGTTTCACAATCGGGACTTGCCTCAAGTTACCTTGCATTATCGCGCGACCGACATGTTTCATTGCATCGTCCAAACGGCGTTGCGATGTGGTGCTACTTTGCTATTTTCAATGGGCAGATTACCCGTATTCATTTGATTATTAGAGGGCTCCTGTTGTAGTGCCTCTGATACTCTTACTTAATATACTAGTTTCAATTGAGGGGTAGAGATTGCTGTTGCCTATACCTCGAAGTCTGAAGGACGCATTTTGGGGCTGGCCACAGTCATGTCTAATCCTCAGGTATTGCCTTTAAAAGTTATTAATTATCACCTGCGTACACGCCGGCAATTCATCGACGCAACGCGACATGAGAGATGCGCTTTCCCTGACGCAGGCAGTTAACGCGACAGCGCAAGGCGAAATGCTTCTTGCAAAGTACCTGACAGACTCTATCCGCAGCATTGAGCATGCGATCCGCAAGTCAGCGCCCTCTGGCGCCCATCTGTCTCGCGCCCTGTCTGCACCCAGATTGGACATGAGGTACGTGGGAAGTCGCAGGGACATCATGAATCATTCCGAATGCTGTCGGACATCCTTGCATGGGCAACTCGTGTCTGTGTGCTTCCGTACCTCTGCCGAATCGCTGAACCTGCAGCAGGCAGCAGTTGCCAAGCACACCCCCGCGGCCGCTTTCCCGCTGCGTCAATGTCTGCGCACTCCCTTGCGATAGCTTTAGCCAAGCAGCATAATAGTTACTTGCGGCAGCAGCCACCACAGAGCCGCAAGCTGCTGCTACCTAAGCTGCTCGCCAGCTGCCCGCCTGGCTCTCATCACGGCGAAAGAAACACACCTCCACGCCAACCTTCGCCACGAAACACCGCCACGAAACACCGCCACGAAACACACGCGTCCGCATGCATGAGGCTTTGTGCGCCCGGCTTTCCACCTGCGAACTGTCCCCCCGTACACCATTGCCGTACACGAAACAGGCCCGACGGCCGTCGGCCCGCGACGGAGGTCTTGCTGCCGCGGAAGCTTCCGCTGGCACAGGCCCCCGCGGTGGCGGCGGCGCTCGCTGCCACCCGCGGCGATGACCGGGGGGGCCCCCACGTCATCAACAGATCCAACGGACAGGTTGCAGCAACGCAAGCGCGGTTGTCACAGCCTGTTCAGTCCGGCTACGGAGCCACGCCGCTACCGCCGCGCAGCCAGGTCGGCGGCAACTCCTTGCTGACCAAACCCTCCAATGCCGCGACGGCTGCGGGGTCGCTGCCGCCGCGGCCATCTGTCGTACGGACGGCTCATGCCATCGCCGCGGCGCTTCAGCACCAGCAACAGCAGCACCAGCAACAGCCGCCGTACGGCAGGACTGGCGGTGGCGGCCGGTCAACATCGGCACCGCGCCTAGATGACGCCGCTGCAGCGGCGGCGCAACCACCGACAGCGCACCACCACAAACATGTTCACCACTACCAACACCATCATCATCATCAGCAGCAGCAGCAGCAGAATCACCACCGTAATTCCGACAGCCACAACTACCCACAGGGGCCCCAGTCCGAAGCTCGAATCCCGGCGATGGCGGCGGCGCCGCCGCTGCTGGCACACGGTGGCGGCGCCGCCGCTGCTGCCGCGGACGTCCGCAGCGTTGCCTCCGTACGACGGAGCGCTCCGTCGGATGCGGGCACGCACACGTCTTGGTGGCGGTGGCGGCCGGTTACTGATGCGTCGTACCCGCTGACGGCGGTGCGTTGACGTCAGCGGCGTGATGTATGTGATGTGATGGTAGAATCCACAACCCCAAACTCCCGCGTGTGCCCTTCTGTTGGTACACGCGTGGCTTATGACCGTATTTCAGTAAAAGGGACGCAAACCGAATAAAATGATGTATGTTTGTCGTGTCAGTCCCATTCCCGACGAGTCTGATCTTGTTTCCCGTCCTCTCAACTTTCATACCACCTCATAGCATCACAACACCAACACCAGCGCCCCAGCCTCCGTACGACACCCTATTTGCCGCTTTTCCCATCGTCAGCTGTTCCCCGTCGTCAATTTCTTTTTATGTCCCGATCTGATCCGGTCCTTCCCGCCCGATTACCAACCGGGTCCGGGAGGGGAGTCACCGGGCTCCGGTCCCAATACACACACCCCACCCCCAACCCCAACCCCACCCTCACCCTCACCCTCACCCTCACCCCTACCTGGACCGCCGCCCCCGCATGGCCCTCTGTACAGATCACGGACCGCTACGCTCAAAGCATGTCGCCGTCTGAAGTCATCAAGTGGAACGACCGGGTCGCGAGATTGGAGGCGGAGATCAACCAGGAGAAGGAGCGAAGGTGAGATACGACATCGCTGGGGGGGGGTTGCGATGTGACGAGGAGGAGGAGGAGGAGGAGC